AGAGCTAATCCTCTCCCCCCCTCCCGCCCCACTGCAGACATGGCTATAGGGCCCTGCCCATCCCCTTACACAATTGACATGGATCACCTTGTGTAACTTATTTAGGCGTTAGCCCTGCTTTGTAGATGTGCCCTTCCACGTCATCCATTTCCAGCTTCTGACAAACAGATGGCTAGAACCATTCCTACCCATCCTGGCTAATAGCCATTGATGGACCTAATCTCCATGAATGTATCTAGGGTTTGGGTTGTTTTTTTTTAACCCTCTAAGAGGTCACTGGACCATTAGTTGTTTTTTATGGGGTTTTTTTTTAACCCTTTTAAAAGTCCTGGCCTTCACAACATCCTCTGGCAAGGAGTTCCACAAGTTGACTGCATTGCATGAATACTTCCTTTTGTTTGTTTTAAACCAGCTACCTATTAATTTCATTTGGTGACCCCTTAGTTCTTGTGTTATGGGCAGGGCTCGACAAACCACTGAATCTACTCACCCGTGGCGAGTAGATTTCAGCCGGTCGCTCCGTGTGCCCCATTCACCGGCACTGCACCCGAGCAGTGCCGGTCTGGTGCATGCGCAGTGCAGAGCTGGCGAGCGGCTCTCGCTGGGGTTTGACAAGCCCTGGTTATGGCAACAAGTAATTAATTTTTCCTTATTCACTTACTCCATACCGGTCATGACTTTATAGACCTCGATCATACCCCACCTTAGTCTCCTCTTTTCTAAAATGAAGTCAGTCTTTTTAATCTCTCTCCCTATGCACCCATTCTAATCTCCTAATCATTTTTGCAGCCCTTTTCTGAATCAATGCCAAGACATCTTTTTTTGAGATGAGGCAACCAAATCTGTACAGTATTCAAGATGTAGGCATACCATGGACTTATACAGAGGTAAAAAGATATTCTGTCTTATTCTCCAGACCCTTTTAATAATTCCTAACATTGTTTGCTTTTTTGACTGCTGCTGCATATTGACTGGATGTTTTCAGAGAACTCTTCAAGATCTCTCGAGTGGTAATAGCTAATTTAGTCTATCATTTGGTACGTATAGTTAGGAATCTTTTTTCCAATGTATTTTCCAATGTCTTTACTTTGCATTTATCAGCATTAAAATTCATTTGCCATTTTGTTACCCAATCACATAGTTGTGAGATCCTTTTGGAGTTCTTCAAAGTCTGCTTTGGTCTTAACTATTTTGAGCATTTTAGTATCATCTGAAAATGTTGTAGGTAAAATAGGATTGGACCAAGTATAGACCCTTGAGGAAATCACTAGTTACCTCTCTCCATTCTCAAAATTTACCATTTATTCCTACCATTTGTTTCCTGTCTTTTAACAAGTGACCCTTATATTTCCCTTATGTAAATCCATGGTATGCTTACATCTTGAATACTGCGTACAAATGTGATCTCATCTCAAAAAAGATGTACTAGCGTTAGAAAAAGTTCAGAGAAGGGCAACTAAAATGATTAGGAGTTTGGAAAGGGTCCCATATGAGGAGAGATTAAAGAGACTAGGACTTTTCAGTTTAGAAAAGAGGAGACTAAGGGGGGATATGATAGAGGTCTATAAAATCTTGACTGGTATGGAAAAAGTGAATAAGAATTTATTATTTGCACAATATAAGAACTAGGGGCCACCAAATGAAATTAATGGGCAAACAAATAAAAATAAGTTCTTCACACAGCACAGTCAACCTGTGGAACTCCTTGCCTGAGGAAATTGTGAAGGCTAGGACTAGAACTATAACAGGGTTTAAAGGAGAACTAGATAAATTCATGGAGGTTAAGTCTATTAATGGCTATTAGCCAGAACGGGTAAGGAATGGTGTCCCTAGCCTCTGTTTGTCAGAGGGTGGAGATGGATGGCAGGAGACAGATGGATTATTACCTGTTCAGTTCACTCCCTCTAGGGCACCTGGCATTGGCCACTGTTGGCAGACAGGGTACCGGGCTGGATGGACCTTTGGTTTGACTTGGGATGGCCTTTGT